CAGAGAACTGGAATTGATTAAAATTATTAATAGAAACAGACCTTATAAAAATTTTCGAATGGTTTAATTATAAAAACTTAAAAACCTTTGATAAAACTTATGTTACAAAAAGATGGCCTCTTCCTATAGAAACAATAAAAGATAACGTTCAGTAGTAGTTTCATATAAGTATTACAAATGATACCTTAGAGTACAAATTGACTCTCATCATAACTGGATACAAATAATGCGTTGAATGTACATTTAAAAATATTCAATTTTGCACTCATAGAATCATTATTACGTTATAGGATCCTTTCTTGGAAAAGTGTTTTACCTGCTTATGCAAAATTGTCCTGCAAAAAATATTACTAATAATATTATGTAATAAAATGATCAGAAATTCTCTTCAAACATCTATTAAAGAAATATCACAGGAGTGTTTGACCTAAATAAGGGGTAAATAGTATATCCCGGTGGTGGGAGCTGTCGTGTAACCAGTCAAATTCAAAGTAAAGTTGCTTATATATGAATGTTTCGTTTTTTGCCTCTAGACGTTTATAACAATGAACAAATCCTGTTGCAAGAATTTTTTGTCGTCCGGTTTTTTTAGGTTACATTTTTTGCATATTAATCCTTTTCGGCTACACAAAAATGTGCAATGTTATCTTAATTTCAGAAAAATCGCGTTTAAGCTATATCCCGAATTTTGTAGAAAATCGTAAATATCCGGTCACGTGGTCAAAATCGTACCAGATTACAAATAGCAAATTAAAAGCACGATATGCCACTTTTTGCTGTCATATGAGGGACTAAGACAGGCCTGCACAGTTGGGATTTTCAAAGGACCAGTTCAAAAAACCCGTATTTGTACGTGGGCTAAAAACGGATGTGGGGACGGGGGGTTGTGTAGGCGAAGGATATTCGCAGGTGCAACGCTCAAAAAAAAATCATTTTCCTACGACCACTTAGGAAAGTGACACATATCACACTATAAAGTCCTATGGAAAGTGCCCTATATCACACGCGTATGAATAAGAATTTACTTTCCACCCGAGTGAGAATATGTTACTTTCCGCAGTAGTTGTTACAAAATGTCAAACACCTAATTTCTATTTTGATCTATGTAATGTCCATATTAATACTAAAATCGATATGATTGTTAAATTATTGAAATTGTTGTAAATTAGATCCTAGATATTTATCTTTAACAATTATTATTAAAATAATTTTAAAATAACTAAGATTACGTTTGCTTTTTATTCTGGTTAAACATATAACCGATTAGATCACTCAATTGACAAAAGGCCTGTTAGCTCAGTTGGTTAGAGCATAAAATTATCAAATTTGCCATTTGAGAGACCTGGCGAACGACCGTGTTCGAATCCTGGCGGGGCCACAACTTTTTTTTGGTTTTTTTTTTTATTTTTTTTTTGTTTTTTAATTTTTTTTTCTTTTGTTTAAAAAATATGAAAATTGAATAAATACGATTGTTGTTGATTATTTTTTTAAATACATTTAAATTATTATAATGACCTGGTTTTACATTTTTTGATGAAAATATTTTGTGGTCGTAGGAAAAATATTGTACATCACTTGTGTGAAAAGTGATTTTCCACACTCGTGTGATAGTCGCACATCGGATTGTGCCTCGTGCGACAATATTTCCCACTCGTGTGAAAAATGTCACTTTCCACACTCTTAATGTAATATACTATTGTAGTTTATTTATTAAGTTTTATTTTAAATACTTACATCAAAGTTTTATTCAGTAAAATGTTTTTTGTGTTTTACCACATATATGATTTGATATCTATTAAGGCCATAATTAATAAATGCAATTTTGTTACTGAAAAATGAATAGTTTGACGTAGGCGGGCCAAATTGGTAAAAGGACAAAGGGCCAAGAAAACGACAAACTTTTTCAATCTCTTCTCGGCAAGATGACGACGGACTACGGGCTTCTTACAATATCTCATTCTTAATTGCTAAAAGACTCTATTGGGGAAGATTTAATTTTACCGCCAATGGAAGAAGTCATAACCACTGTGCTCCACAAATCAGCGGAAGACATTATCCGAAAAATTCTGAGCAATAGTGCAAGACGAATCTATGAGATTGCTAAAGACATAGAAGACACATTGTGTAATTATCTGAAGACACACTAATTTTCAATTCAGCTGGATGAGTCCACTTTACCGACTAATAATACGTTATTGTTGGCATATGTGAGGTTTATCAATGATAAGAAAATATGTCAAGAATTATTATTTTCAATGACTTAGAAAAAGATACAAAAGGAGAATCCATATTTAAAACAGTGAAAATTTTTTGTAACGAAAAGGAAATTTCTTTGAAAGCTGCTACAGATGGCGCTCCTTCTATACCGGTATACACAGAGGCTTCATACCATTAATAAAAAATATAGTTCCAGATGTGATTCCCATACACTGCGCCATTCATCGTCAGCATTTGGTCACAAAAAAATCTAAGTGAACGTCTGCACACTTCACTGTAATATATCATCAAAGCAGTTAATAAAATTAGAAGCAGCCACTAAATGACAGATTATTTAGTTAGCTTTGTATTGCCTATGATGAAGATTTCAATCGTTTGTTGCTTCACACAGAAGTACGCTGGTTATCAAGAGGTACTTTTACAATTTGTTTAATTCTGTAGTAGAGTTTCTTGGAAACAAAGACAGATAAGTATGCGATAACCTCATTACATCAAAGCATGATATTGCCTACTCGAGAGACCTCTAAAAATTGTTTAATAATGTGAATCTCCAACTTCAAGGCGACGACTTAAACTTGATTAAAACAAAAAATGTTATAGGTGCTTTTTAGATTCTTACTCAGATATAATATACTTAAAAAAATTTGGGGGGCGATACACAAATGTTTATTCCACTGGTTTAGAGTATTATAAGATTTTAATCATTTACTCCATGTATTGTAATATTAATAAAACTAATAATACTAAATAATAATAATAATAAATGTTACCAATATCATTAATTTTAGTTTTTAAATAACAGTTTATGAAACATCGCACAACTCTCTTTGAAACCGGAACATTTCGTAAAATTATTGATTTATCTTTCAGCTGAGAGAATATTCACTAAACTCAAGAAGCTCTCCGTATATATAGGTACGAAAATCTAAACGCCAGCCCACTATCAATGAATTAAACAAGATATAATAGGACCACGCGTGAAACAAAGACCGTCTGCGCAACACGATAAGTACGACTTTCACCTCACTCCCACTTACTCTTGTATGTAATAGATTTGGTTTAGATGTTCCGCGTTTAAATTTCTGTACCTTTATATGATTGAACTACTAATACAGGTACGTAAAATCTAATTTAAATATGTTTACGACAAATGCAGATATTCACGATTATGATACCAGAAATATATTGTTTTCTAGATTCTGTAAAAAAAAATGTCTACCAACAGGGAAACGTATAAGGAAATCACGCTTTTTCAAAAATAAAAAAAAACGAATTCTAACTAATTTCGTTTATTGTAGGTGTGGTTAGGTAGGTATCTTTAAGAAATTATAAGAATAACCTTGTATTTATAACCTTGTAACAAAAACCGATATGATGCACATTTTACGCAGCTATCACGTTAGTAAACACGCATAACCTTCAATTCGTGTAATCTACGGTAATAACCGTTAGTCGAGAACATACTGACACACACACACTTATCTGACTAACTTATATTCTCGAGCAACCGTTTTTTTTTTTTTATTTTGTTGCATGCAACCTACGTGCAGTTTGTACATTCCAGAAGATGAGTTGACAACAATAAAGAGGTATTTAATTGGAAACGATGATTATTTATAGAATGAGGAATTATTTCAGGTTCATCGCGTGATTCTTAATAGTTGTTAATAGACTTCAAAAAAAGAAGGAGGTTCTCAATTCGTCAGAATATTTTTTTAAGTATTTTCAGCGATAATTCTTTACCACGTTGAGCGATTTCTATGATTTTTATGTTAAACCATGTATGGTCATGAGATCTTTGGAAAAATAATCAAACTCTTTAATTCGCAAAGGTATCGATTTTGGAGTCATTTTTTTTATATTACTTTCATAACTTGTAACTATAATAATGACCCTACCTATCTTTACTGCTAATTAATAATATTTCCAAAGGCAACAGAAGTTTGCTAATATCTTGTACACACTGCCAGATCGGCAATATCTAATACATCCCACAATTATACGTTCTTAGCATATTCTTAGTATATACTTTTTAAGAATATGCATATGCTAAAAATAAGAATATACTTTATTTGTAATTAGTACATATACTAAATATATGTTACTGGTCGTTGTATAAAAGCACAATGCAAATACTGAGAATGTACTCAAATATATGTACAATATGCAATTAATATCTATTTTCTTCTGATAGTACGTACTAAGTATATGCCAAGTATTTAAGTCTAGCATATACTATAAAAATGTAGGTATATAAACGTGTTTTACCCGTAAGCATTCAGAATGTTCTCAGAATATGAGGTACATGCTGGGTATATGGCTTTTGGCATCTTCTAAAAATATCCTGTTATCTATTTTTTAGAATTTACTTTTATGGCGGTTACTCAGTACATATATACTTTTTAGTATATTCTAGGAATTTTCTAAGAACATTCTAAGAAGGACATACCAAAAATAACAAACAGTACGTTCTTAGTATATTCATAGAATATTCATAGAATAGGTAATTAGAGTCACCTAATTTTATTTAATATTTAAGATTAATATTTCGTCAAAATGTTGTATAATTTATTTTTATTATTTAAATTTGTTTTCTTTGTTACAGGTACGTTGAACTTCTAACCAGTTTCATTAATTAATTTTATTAACGGTAAGTTAATTAATTACAAAAATGTACCTCTCTTACTGGAAATTATCTAAAATTGAACAGTATATTTGTTTTTTCATCACATTTAACTTTCCTCTAAATCTCTTAAATTTAAATAAAAAAAAAATGTACTTACCCGCAGAGAGCAGACAGCAAGCAAGCAATACGAATCGACGTACGTTACACTCCATTTTTTAATATCCTATGATCACTGAGGCGAAATTTTTAGTAATACATTATCTGTGGACGAAGTACTGGGCTATGATGGACGTGGAGGTTGATTATCACGAGTTTGTGCAGACAACCAGTTACCTGAAAATGGGATATCATTTAATAATCGTTTATTTACAGTAATTAATAAATAATAGAGAGAAATCACAAAAACCAAGAACGTTTGAATATACCATTTAGGTTGGAATTTAATTATAGGTTATCCGTATTAGTACATACATTACTATATTATATTAATAATAATGTTTATTTAAGAAATAATACAAGTTGCAAAGTAATACAAATAAGAATTTCGAATAAATAATTTTTTTTGTGTTTCAACAACTATGGTTATTTGGCCTCGTGTCATGAAATGAAATGAAAAAATGAAAATATATTTATTGAAATAGAAATGAAAAAATGAAAATATATTTATTGAAATAGAAATGAAAATATATTTTTTTTATTACAAAACAACAACTCAAATTCATAATCCAAAATTCAAAATACAAAAACCAGGGAAAAAATACAATTTATAACTGAACAAAACAGAAAAACAAATAAAGTCCAAAATATAAAAAATATGTATACAAAAGTTCCAAATACAAAAGTCTAAAATACAAAATATACATATTAATAAAATCAAATAAAATTTTTTAAAAGAGATTTGCACATTTAATCTACTTTACACTAATTTCATCAATCATGAACATGTTTTATCATTTTCTTTTTAAAAACTGTTACTGACGAACTAGCTTTAATACCAAACAGCAATTTATTGTAATGGTCAAAGCATTTAAAAAATTAAGAATTCATTGATGTTCGTTTATTTGTTCCAACTATGTGCAAGTTACTGTTATTTCTGGTAGAGTAGTTATGAATATGATTGTTAAAATTAATACATTCTAGAAAATAAGGTGAGGCCAAACCATTTAATATTTTATATACAAACACCATAGTCAAATAGTATGATATCTGATAAACCGAAATCCATTGCAGTGATCTATGCATGGTAGATATAGAAGTATATTTGCTGCACCTCAATATAATCCTCATACTATGATTTTGCAGTTTTTGTAACTATGTCGTTTGGTTTAAGTTGAAAAGAAGATTTCTTCCAAATATGTAATTAGTAAACCAATTCAAAACACAATGCCATATCCAGTAAGTTTCTTGCGATTTATTGTTTCAAATGCTCTCTTTAAGTCTAGAAAAACTACATAGTTATTATTGTCTACCTCTGTTTTAAATTTACATAAGGATAGTTGCAGAGCTGCTTCACAACAGTGTTTTTTGCGGAATCCAGATTGGTTAATAAATAAAATATAATTGTGTTCAATATGTTGAAGAGTTTGTTCATATACAACCGATTCAAGCACTTTTTCTGTAGGTGGCAAAGTATTTATAGGTCGGAATTCCGAAGCATTTATTGTATTACTTATTTTAGAAATTGGAACTATTATACCTATTTTTAGTGAATCTGGTACTGTTGCAGTCTAAAGAGAAGTATTAATTACATTTCAGACCACACGTTTCAAATACTTCTTTCAACATTTTGGAATTAAGGATTTCATAAATAGTACATTTACATTTACTTTACAATTACTTTCAATTCACTCAATGACAACAACCGAAAATTTGAAAATTGAGGATATACATTATAGTTACAGAAATTTCCTGTTATTTCAGTAGAGATGCTATCAACTATTTGAGTAATGCTACCTATAAAAAATATATTAAATTTACTTGCAATTTCAGTAACATTATGTTCGATTTGGCGTTCATTGTTTAAATTAAATTCAATAAAATTTGGAAAATTTTGACTGTTAGTATTAATTAACTTTTTAAGAGTCTTCCACATTAGTCGAGAATTATTTTTATATCTATAAATTTTATTAAAATAATATAGTCCTTTTTTTATTTTTAGTAAATTTACAATTTTTTAAATTCTCCCCATTTTTCATTTTTATCAGCACCAGAAGTGGTCTGAAATTCTTTATACATTTTATCCCTATCCTTTATTTTATAATGAATGTCATTATCAAACCATGGAACATTACTTTTATACTGGCAAACTTGTATAGGCGCTACATTATTTATTACCGTTTGACAATTCTTATAAAGTTCATCCTATATAGTATTTACATCAGTAGAATTTAAGTTCCAATTACATGATATTAAGTCGAGTTTAATTTTATCTAAGTTAGTTTTACTATAGTTTCTATACATTTTAGTGGTTATGTCTTTGTTGTTATTACTAAGATTAACAGATATTATAGAATGGTCACTAATTTTTGAGTATGATGAACTGTAGCTTTAACAAAATTATTATTAACTAATACATAATCTTATCAAAATTTTACTATTATTTGTAATTCGTGTAGGCTTAGTGTTTTATTGGTCAATTCCATATTGTAAAAACATTGCTTTAGTTTTATTACTATAAAAACAGTCATATGTATTATCAAAGTTAAAATCGCCAATTAACAAACAGTTATTAGCAAAAATAGGATCACATATATTTTCCAAACTGTCCAAAAATACAGCATCAGAACTTGATGGTGAATGGTAGAGACAACCCATTAATCACTGATAACCATTAAGATCAAGTTTTATTATTTTGCACCAATAATTTGGCTCAAGCACAAAGGTCTTAGCAACGTAAATTATGACCCCCTTGTGCTTCGGTTTGAGGAATTACATCTGATCAGATTATACCCAACGATTTTAATTTCAGATTCTTCAATTTCCTTGGTAATTCTTCACTTATAAAAATTATCTTAGGACAGTAAAATAATAAACTTAAAATTTCATCGATTTTGTTAAGTAAACTTTGGGCATTTAAGTAGAGTATATCAGTATTAAACGCTTTATCGTTTTTGAATTATCACCCTGAGTAAAGATCATCTAGTGTAGATTTAATTTTCTTAAAATATTTTTGTTGCGCCTTAGTTTGGTCAGATGCAATTTTAATTCCTGGTATGGTATGTTAGGCTTTGTTGCTGTTTCCTAGTGCCACGTTAGGAACAGTACTGTTATTTAGAACCCAACAGTGAATGGTCGAGAGGGGAATCCTACCAAGACATCAGAATTAATTTTAATTATTAATACTCAATAAATGTTAATAAGGCACTTGTTTTGAAAACATATAAAAATATTAATATAGAAAATAAATATATATAAAATAAAATTATTGTATCATAAAAATATTTTAGAAAATATTCTATGTAGGAAATAAACACAATCAAAATACCTACATTTAATCAAGAAAATACCGAAAAGATGATCATACAAAACGCAAATAAATATCAGTTATTTGAAAGTTATTTATTGTACAAGGGAAAAAGTATTTTGTCTTCCTCCGCTTCGCGTCGAGAGACACAACCTTGAGCTAAAATCTAATATTTTTCCCGTTTATAATACACTTTTTTGTCTGTGACAAAAAAACGACGATTTATATTGCAAAAATATTCTAAAATATCTACCTTTACTTATATGTAAAAAAGTACTCACTTTTTTCTCAGGAAAACACTTTTTTCCCGGGAAATGGGGAAAAAGTAATTTTATAAAAAGTGACATTTTGTTGCCTGACAAACTTTTTTCCATCACAGAAAAAATATTATTTATTATTTCCATTTTTTCATTTCTATAAATTAATTATTTTTAAATATGGACAAGGTATTATAACATTTTGTGTCAACTGGGGGGTATTATATAATTTTGGACCCATATACAAATACGATCGTTATCCTACCGATTTTTGAGTACAAGGCACATTACGGTGATGTTTTTGCTTTGTGCTATACCGTCGGTGAAACCAAAAAACTATGTAACTCAGTTTTGATAAATTTTATAGGAGAGACAAAAAACATTTTTCCGCCTACCTCTATCCAAAGTATACATTTCCTGACCTAATTGCAGGAAGCAAAGTCATACTTTTCCTCCCTAGGGAGGAAAAGTACTTTTACTCCCTAGGGAGGAAAATTAAAAGTGACGTCATGGTATGTCATAAATGAAATAGTTTATACGGCATTGACGACCTAAACTATATTCTATTATATAAGTATGAATTTTACCGTTTATTTATAGAACCCCCTGTATTTTGCAAAATAGTAAAAATCAGTAAATTGTTATTTTAATTTAACGATTTTTGCATTAATAATTTGACTTCAATTCATAGATTCATCCGATTTTCGAATTTAGGACAGAAATATTATAGCATGCTATGGTCGATTGACAGATCAGTTTTAAAGTGTGTTACGCTATAATATATCTACAAAATATAAAATAATATTTAAAAAATGAGTGATTCAAGCGAATTTAAAGATATAAATAATACACCACCGGATATTTTGGAACAGGTTAATGCAACAGTTCAATCTCTATTACCCCAAAAATCTAAAGAAAAATACGAAAAACAGTATTTACATTTCAAGCAATGGGCCGAAGAAAAGCATATTCGTACTTACTCAGAAAATAATTACTCTACCACAAATTAAAAATATGTAGGATGCAAGAATGAAAATAACATGCCTATAATTTATACTATACCTACTTCATAATTTTAGTTCTTTAATAAATTTTGTTTATTAGTTTCATAAATAAATTATTTAAAAATGACTTGTTATTTGAGGGAGGCGGAAAAATCATATGTATTACTTGGGAGGAAAGTGTCACTTTTCCTCCCGCAGGATGAAGTTTACTGCCCGACGCGAAGCAGAGGGCAGTAAACATCCAAGGGAGGAAAAGGCACTTTACTCTAGTAATACAAATAGCTATTTTTTTACTGGTTACGTCATAGGTTACGCCGGTTTTTGTTTAATTTGGGAAATAGGCACTATTTGGGTTAACTACTCAGATATTTTAAATATTTTAATGGACTTTCCAAATCTTTTTAAAAATTTCTAAGCATTTCCACTGTAACCCTTTGAAAGGACTCTCTTACTCGTATTTTCATATCATATACTGTAGTTGGAGGTATTTTATACACTAGAGCCCTAAGAAAAAAAAGTCAATTTTAGTTCAATCTGGTGACCGGGCTGGCCAACGGATTGGCCCGCCTCTTCCTATCCATCTTCTTGGAAATTGATCTGCAAGTTCAC